ACTCCTTCCTTGCAGGAATATTTAAAGAAGGCTCCAAAGAAGTGGCCTCTTGAATTTCCTTAGCAACTTTATTTTTTAACTCCTTAGGAACATCATAAAGATTAACTGCTTCATTAGAATTACAAAAAACCTGAGTTGGTGACAAGCTAGTTGGGCCTTGATTAATTAATATAATAGCTGTTCAGATGAGTGTCCACACAGACCAAAAATCAAGCGGTATAGTTTCTCCAGTCTGAAATGCTTTTTCCATATTTGTTCTAACTTTGTCCCAGACTTCTAAATCTAAAGTCCCTGTATCAGGAAACCACAAATTAAACTCTACAACTATTTGCACACAAATAGTTGTCTTCTGGAAACTTGTGCTCCTTTACTACGAAGAATATGATGAATTAAAGAAACAAAAGGAGTAGACTTACCCTGTCCCATTATACTTACATAAATTGCAACCCTATTTCAAAACCTCCTCCAGGCGCAATGTCGGGGGTCCCTGTTCGGGCACCAGCTGTCACGGTACAGTGACCACAATTCAAGCCTGATGGGTTTGGGGAGCCCGACGGATAGAAATCGAGGACACTGAGGATGCAGAGGTTTATGTGCCAATACATGTTTATTGTGAATCAAACAAAGCTTATATAGGAATCAGACCTGGAGTAACCAAGGAGTAACCAAGGAATAACTAAGGATACATCACTAAGAGAAAGTAACCAGGGAATAACCAAGGACATAGTACGTTACTAACAAGAATGCATTACTTCATCAACCATGGACTTAGCAACGCTGGAGCAGACATTCCGACAGCAGAATCATATCTTCTTTAACAGTATAGATTTTAACACATACTCCTAAATTTCATGTAATCAATTTTTTTAAAGATCTGATTACTTCTCAATTTAAAAGCTCTCTTAGGTCAGAGTTGGACAAATCTGTTTCAGGGTCTGTAAATGAGCAATGGAATAAACATACAAGCACATTAACAGCAACAAAATTGCCTTTGGGTGGGGTGACCACAGTGTCTTGATTCATCCAAGAACTTCCAGGGTGACTCTTGTTCTTGTATTCCATTTGTTTTAAGATTTCTATCTTATTTATGAAGCATTATTAGTCATAGTTACATTTAAAAATAAAGTATTTTATGCTTGCAAATACAACAACAAAAAAGCAAAAACAGCCAGACATAGTGGCACATGCCTTTAATCCCAGCACTCCAGAGGCTAAGGCAGGCAGATCTCTGTGAGTTCAAGGTCAGTCTGGTCTACATAGTGAGTTCCGGGCCAGCTGGGGCTACAGGAAGACCCTGTCTCAAACAAACAAACAAACAAACAAACAAACAAAAAAATAAACAAAAACCCCTCTCTTCACATCAATTTTGTTGTCGTTAAGGATTCACATCTCTTTCCATGTTTTCAGTTTTGTTTTGTTTAGAGAAATACAGTGGTTCACAGCAATGGCAGAATTTAGGCAGACTTGTGTTGGAGGTCTTTCGTTGCAAACATCTTTTCTCTCTTTAAAACTGGATTTAACTGCCAGAGTTTAAATGGTATATTTAGTTAAAAATCCTCATCACCTTCACCCTGATAGGAAGCTTGACAGGACTGAACACTGGAGCTGTTTTAGTTTTTTCCTTTAATCTGCTCAACTCCTCTTTTACCATTATTTTCTCTTGGCTTTAAAAAAGTATTTCGTTCATGAGTACTGAGGTAGACTTGAGAAAGCATGAACCATTAAAACTGAGTTTAGCTGTAAGCACAACAGACTGTTCAGGAGTGGGTAGCACCCCCTGGTGGACAGTTTCAGACCCAACATAGTGTCTGATGGGTGCATTGGAACAAGCTGGGGAGACATGGAACCAGAAATATGCCGCTCTCAAACTTCCTGCCAACAATATTTTTCTGTGGCCTTCTGGGGGCAGCAAGTAAGAAGCTGCCTTCTGAGTCCCTGCTGGTCTGTTGTAGACGGTACAGGAAGTGCACCACTAGAGTAGGTGTGTGAGCTATTATTTTTCTGCTTATCCTAAATAAGAATGCCAGAAGAGTGGGAGAATCAGAAAAGACAGTTTCTTACTGCAGTGACACAAATGAGTTAAGGAGTACTGACTAGTGGATTCGAGGAAAACAGAAGCTAACACAGGTAGAATTTCTCCATATTAAGTGAGCGGATTTGAGATTAATAGGGGAAAAATACATTTTTTTAAAGACAAGATCTCAATATGTAGCCCAGACCAGCATCAATTTCTGGATCCTCCTATTTCTGCATCTTGGATGCTTGATTACAAGCATGCACCCCACACTAATTTCTTAGATTGTAACTCAGTTAAAGGTAGGCATATATTGGGGCTGAACAGATGGCTTGGCAGTTAAGAGCCCTGGCTGCTCTTGCAGAGGACCCAGGTTTGGTTCCCAGCACCAACAGCCATCTGTAACTCTAGTTCCTAAGGATCTGACACTCTTCTGGCCCCCATGGGCATTGCACAATGCAGGTGCACTGAACATACATGCAGGAACAACACTCATACACATAAAATAAAAATCAGAAAAATTTAAATAGGCATATATTGAAAAGCCCAAAGAAAGATTGCATTCATACAAATCTGGCTAAATTAAAAAATAGGGTTGTAGCCAGGAGCCTTTAATCCCAGGATTTGGGAGGCAGAAGAAGGTGGATCTCTGTGAGTACAAGGCCAGCCTGGTCTATATAGTGAGTTCCAGGCCAGCTGGGGCTACAGGGAGACCCTGTCTCAAAAGATCTGGAAAAAAAATAGGATTGAGTGAAAGTTTTGGGGTTTCCATATCATAAACTACCTCTCTCACACTAGTAGCACACTGAATTATCATTCTACCTGCAGTGAGTTGCACAGATGAACCAAAAGGAAGCTCAAGAGCAGAGTTCGTTAGCTTTTTTTAAAAAAAATGTATTTCTTTTTATTTTATGTGTGTGTTTTGCCTGCATGTGTGTAAGTGCACCCATGTATGAAATGCTTGTGGAGGCCAGAAGGAGTTTGATCCCCTGGAACTGGAGTCACTGATGGGTTATTAGCTGTCATGTGGTTGCTGGGAACCAAACCCGGGTCTTCTGCAACAACTGCCAGTGCTCTTAACTGCTGAGCCATCTCTGCAGCTCCTCAGGTTAGTTTTTTAAAAAACAGTAAAAATAAGCTAGACATGCTGGCTCATGCCTTAGTCGTAGCGTTCAGGAGGTGACGGCCACAAGATCACCACAAGTTTGAGGTCACCTCGATCTGCATAGTGAATACCAGGCCAGCCAGGGCTGCATAATGAGACCCAGTCTCAAACAAAACAAAACAAAACAATCAAAGCATTTCTTTGTTTTAAAAAGTTTTAATTCTGAGACTTACTGCAATGCATGTGAATTAGGGGCAAATGCACTAGCAAATCTGCAAATGTGACTATTAATAAAGATGCTTGGAATTCCAAGATTCCATCTTGGAATAAGCATTTATGCTTGACTCATTTTGAATTGATTTTAAGTGAAATAACTGAAGCTAAATTTATAGGTGTTAAGTCCATATTGATACTCAAAAAGTTTAATTGTACTCCAAATGAATATCTAGCACTGTTTGTCAAGACAACTTGGCTTATAGACCATTCCCAAGAAACTGGAATCCCAAATATAGTTGTGAACAGGTTGCCAATTGTTACTATAGTCAGTCACATGGTAGTATTTGGGACATACTTGTCATGGTTAATCTTCATTGACCACTGGACTAGCTTTAGAATCATCATGGAAACACACCTCTGGTTCTGTCTATGAGGGTGTTTCCAGAAGGTTTAACTGAGATGAGAAGACACTGAACATGGACAGCACAGACTGTGAAGTGGGGGTCTTGGACTGAATGAGGAGAAAGCCAGCACACATTTCTCTCTCTTTGCTGATTGCCGATATTGTGTAACCGGTGGTTTTGTTGTCAAGCCTTGACCACCATGATGGGCTGTATTTCTGGAGCTGTAAGCCCAAATAAACCCTTCCTCTGTTATGTTTTGAGGTATTTGGTCACGGCAAGTAAAGTAACTAATATACATATACTACCAAATAGTTGTTTATCTAGAATGCAAATTTAATGGAGCATCCTATTTTGCTTCTTCTTCCAATCCCCCCTCCATCATCTCTTCCTGGAGACATTTTAGCTAGGTCTTGAGCCATCTTTTGATTGTCACAACTACGGTGCTGGTACTACTGGACATCTAATGTGGACAGGGCAAGGATGCTTCTAAACGTTTTACATCCTCCCGGGCAAAGAATTATTTGCTCCAAAATGCCAATAAGCCGAGAAACTAGGAACTGAAAGGCTACCGACTTTCAGGGTTTCTAGCAGACAGCACATAGAATTTTCTAAGTTTAGAGCTGGAGAGCTGGCCCAGAGATTAAGAGCACTGGCTGCTCTTGCAGAGGACACAGGTTCGGTTCCAAGCACCCACATGGAGACTAACAATTGTCTGTAACTCCAGTTCCAGGGTATCCAACACTTCTTCTGACCTCTATGGGCACTGCATGATACGGGTGCACTTACATACAAGCAGGCAAAACACTCATACACATAAAATAAAATAAATAAATAAAATAAAATTAGTATTTTACAAAATAATTGTCTAAGTTCATCTTCAGTTTGGGAAGGGGGTTAGTGAGAAGGCCTGGAGCTGGGATGCCAGAGATCCAGAGTTCCTACTGCAGCAGACCAAGTCACCACATGGGAACGGAAGCGTGGGGTTCCGTACGGGGGAGTGTACAGCTCCCTTAACCGACCGACAACTGCTACTTCACCGTAGAATCCCCTAGAACCACCCTGAGCGCCAGCTCCCCAGCCCAGCGGAAGCGGCGGCCCGCTGAAGCGTCCTTCTCCCGTAGCAACGCTCCGGGGGGAGGAAGTGGCTGCTGCACGGCTGCTGGCGCGCCTGCGCAGCGGGCGCGGCCTGTGACGTGAACCGGGCGGCGCCACGGAGCTGGACGCTGCGGAGAGCGGTGGCGGCTGAGGTGGCGGAGCAGAGCAGCGGGCGAGGACGCGATGGCGGTGCGGCTAGCTGGGCGCGGGGGACCCGGGGCTGCCGGCCGGCGGCGGTGGCTGCTGCTGGCGCCCCTGCTGCTGGGCCCGCTGTTGGCGCGGCCGGCCGAGGCGCTGGTGGAGGGGTTGTACTGCGGCACGCGCGACTGCTACGAGGTGCTGGGCGTGAGCCGCTCGGCCGGGAAGGCAGACATCGCGCGGGCCTACCGCCAGCTGGCCCGCCGCTACCACCCCGACCGCTACCGGCCCGAGCCCGGCGACCGCCCCGGGACCGCGCCACCCAGCGCCGAGGCTTTCCTGCTGGTGGCCACCGCCTACGAGACTCTAAAGGTGAGGCCCGCGGGCAGCGCGGGGCCTGAGGGTTCAGTCCCAGCCGGCGCCACCCAGGTCCTCTGCCGGCCCGGCTCTGTGCAGCAGCCGCCTGGACCTGTAGGCGGCCCAGGTTTCCCACGCGGCCTCGGGAAAGAGCCACTTCGGGCCGCTGACCAGCGTGGACGCCTCCTCGGCCTTCGGGGGACAGCCAGTCCTCTCTGTTTGCAAAGCTTTGGACATTTATTGGATTTCGTGAAAACATGCTGATAATTTGAGGCAGATGCTCGGCAAGCAGGGTGATCAGGGATAGGGCAGAGGAGAGGTCTGGAACACAGTTATTCTGTCATCTTGCCAATTGGTAGGACAGAAGTTCGGTTTCTAGGGATGATATGAATGTGGCATTTATCTTAGGTTTAAACAACCAGAAAAACACAGAAAATAGTGACCACCATTTATAAGACCGATGTTTGACATTTGGCTCTGGCACCCTGATGACCTTGGAAAGCAGTTTCTTCATATCCACAATTAAGGCAATGAATCTCCTCACAGGTTTTAATAATAATCAGAAACCCTGATGGTAGGACCCATTCACGAGTGCGCTTAATGACTTGGAGTAGAAGACTGAGCATTTGTAGTAAGAACTGTTTTTCAGATATGTCTTCAGTGATTTGGCAATGGTTTTAGTATGTCCTATGAGGATAGTGAGATTTAACCCAACACTCTTGTGTTACTGCAAAAATCAAACCATATAAGAAATCACCAGTTATAAGTCAGGTTTGAGTGGAGGTGTTAACTAAACTCAAGAGCCCCATCATGGGGATTGAGCAGCAAATTTAGTTGTATTTCTTAACTATTATTTTTTTTTCTTTTTAATGGCAGTTTTCCTGTCTTCTTTTAATGACTACTTTGAGAGGCTGTATTGTAATTTAACCATGGATTGTTCCTCCAGATTAGCTTTACAGAGCTGAAAGTACTGAGTCCAGTTCTTTTCCTTCATGCTTTCCAGAGCAGTTTGGAGCCATTAAATAGTGTGCTTCTCAGTAGCATTAGTGAGATTATAATTTTTATTGTCTATTAATTGAGGTATGGGTGAGCTGGAAAAGTGCTAAAGCTGGAGGCCTTAGTCCTCCTTGTTTAGGGGAACGAATGACTGAGAATAGATTTTAGAACTTTCTCCACCCAGACAACGTGAAATTCCAAGCTATCTGCTGAGGAAAGAGTAGCTCATACACTCAGCCTGCTGGTGACACTCCAGAGGCCTCTACCAGGGACTCCCTGCACAAGGGACTCTGCCCAGATAGTGAGCTTCCAGAGGAGAGAGCAGAAGTGCTGGCAACAGTGGCCTTCGCTGGGGTTTGTGGGGCTGGAGATGGGTAGGTCTGGTATGGGAATGGTGAGCGTGTTCTTCAGAACTTTGAAAGCCAGTGCCAAGACTGAAGTGTAGAAATAGTGGGATGGCCCCCAGGAGTCAGCATAGTCTGACCATTTTCTTGGAGAGACCATTTCAAAGGCTCTGATCTGATGGTTCTATGTGGTTGCTGCTAAAGTTCTACCCCTAAGGTTTAGAACTGATTTGTCAGCTAATAAAAAACAAGGTAGAATAATTTGTCCACTCAAGAACAAGAAGCTTTTAAGGCAGTTAAAAACTAGTATGTCCAGCAAAAGTAACATTTTACTTGACTGGCAAGATGCTTCTGGTAGGTCAAATACCTCCCAACAGGGAACCAGAAATGGAGTAGCACTGGGAGAGGAGGGATCCCTGGGAGGACTCTCCAGATCCCATGCTATACTGCTGCTGGAGGATAGAAATTGTGAGAGGCGAGATTGTTGGCAGAGTTTTGGTCTTTAAAATCAAACCCAGCAGAACTCTGAAAAGTCCTATTTAGAATTTAGAAGAGATGAACTTAGATTCAGCTTCTAAATGGAACACACCCATAGGGTCTGTTTTGCTCACTGTAGTTGTCCTCACCTGGAATGGGGAAAAGGACTTTGATTGCTGTGTTATTGAAGACACAGGTAGCCTGATTTGCATTTCTGTCATAATGGAGAACTGTGTGAAAGTTGTTTGAGAATTCCTTTTCTGAGTAATGTAAAGATTTATTGAAGAGGGCCATCTAATTGAAGGGCCGACTGTTTTCCAAATAATCCCACTAAGGTGCGAGGATTGCAACGTTTTGCTTGCATTATATCCTTAGTTTGGAGCAAGGAATTGTGAGGGGTAAAAGGTCTAGATGAACTTTGCTAAGAGCTGGTCAGCTAGATAGGAGAAATTGAATTCCAGGGACTCTGGAATAAAAATGGCATGCAGAAGCCTCTCAATGTTCGTAATAAATGGACAGTATGGGAACTGTATTTGTGTAAGACATCTGTAGATTTATGATTCTGAGGTTGTTTTGGTGAAATAAATGTGCTTTTGAGAGTGAGGTGTTTTGTTTTTTGTTTTCTTTTTCTTTTTTAAAAAATATTTTGCTGGGCATGGTGGCGCACGCCTTTAATCCCAGCGCTTGGGAAGCAGAGGCAGGTGGATCTTTTTGAGTTCGAGGCCTGCCTGATCTACATAGTGAGTTCCAGGACAGCTAGGGCTACAAGGAGACCCTGTCTCAAAAAGAAAAAAAAAAATTATTATTTATTATTTTTATTTTATGTGTATTGCCTGCATATAGGTAAGTGTACCCGTGTCGTGCAATGCCCACAGAGGACAGAAGAAGCTGTCGGATCCCCTGGAACTGGGAGTTACAGACAGTTGTTAGCTGCCATGTGGGCGCTGGGATTCGAACCAGGGTCTTCTACAAGAACAACCAGTGTTCTTAACCCCTGAGCCATCTCTTCAGCCCCTTTTGTTTTCTTTTAAAGTGGTAGTTGTTTTTCAAAATGTATACCAACAGAATTTAAATACAGTGTGTTGAGACCAGAAGGTAAGGCATTTGATCATTCCTATTTTAGCAACCAAAGATTCTGCCTGTACTTGTAGAAATGGGAGAACCAGAAAAAAGGCTGAGTAATGAGAGGCAAAGGCTCTGTTCAGAGGCTTATGCAAGGTTATAGTTAATTCACATTACCAAATAATTTTTACAATTCCAGATATTAACATGACATCTAACCATTATGATCTCACACGCTGCTCTATATATTTTGCTAATGCAATGGTGTTTTGCTTATTTGATTTTTGAGATTTGAGGGAAATCATGGACTTTGGAAGTAAACAGACTCTCACTTGATGTGTCAGCATTGGATTTCAGGAGGTGGAACACTCCAGTCCCACTGTATTCTCATGTGGCTATAGCACTTATCACACTGCACTGTAAATATTTGAATAACCCTTCCCCTCACCACTGAACCATGCTCCTTGTTTATTATGGGTGTATCCATAGGGCCCAGCACAGTGTCTGGCACATCAGATAATGAAAATTAATTAAACTCACATTTGGAGACAGATTCAGATAGAATGAAAATCAAAGGTGAATTTCTGGCATTTTGACATTGTTATGTGTGGCCTACTTTGCAGTTTCACTCAAATTGTAATTTTACAGTGGTACAGATAATGCAAATTGGATAGTTATGAATGAAACATTCTTGCATGAGAGAAAAATTGCACTTCTACTTTTAATATTCTGAAGGTTTTAAAGTGAGAGCAAAATCACTTGAATGCAAACAAAAATTGGATGAAGTGGATGAAAGGAAAGATGATAGCATAGAAGCAAGCAGATGCAGGAGCAGCTAGAAGGGTTAGGGAAACTGCTTGGGAGGAGATGAGAAAATGGAGTTTGACACCATTTTACAAGATCACAGGAACATAGAAAAGGTGGATTATTGCTGACATGATCATCTGATAAATTCAAGGGGGGTATGGAGAGAACCTTCTGTTCCAGCTTTGTCTTAGAAGCAAGGCATCACAAGAACAGTACTTGATTTTCTTTGTATCATTCAACTGAGATGGCAGGACTTTAGCATTTAGAAAGTATTTGGCAAAGGGGGATTCTGAACTTCCTGTCCTGTGGTGTAACCGTTGATTCCATAGCATAGTTTATCAACTTTCTCTAAGCGCTGATGTAAGGTGCTGGGGAGGTAACCAAGGCAATAGAAAGGGCACAGCTCTCCCCTGTGTTTTATTTATTTTTATTTTTTTAATTGGGAATTGAATTTAGGTTTTTGTACATGCTAGGCAAGCACTCTACCAGTGAGTTATATTCCCAGTCCTTTATAAGGTTCTGTTTGGTTTTGAGGCAGGGTCTTAATATAGTCCAGGCTGGCTGGCCTAAAATTCTCTATGTAGCCAAGGCTTACCTTGAACTCCTTATCCTCCTGCCTTTACCTCCCAAGAGCTGGAGTTACAGGCTTGCTCTACTATACATACCCAGCGCTGTTTTTCAGTTTTAGTTTTGAGGCAAGGTCCCTCTGAAGATACTCAGGTTGGGCTTACACTCCTGATGTAGCAGGCAGGTCTTGTACCTTGTAATCCTTCATCAGTCTTCCAAGTAGCTGGGATTACAGGTCTGAGCCACAGGGTCAGCTTGACTTTAAGCTTTTAATATAACAAGGGAAACAGATACTTACTGTTTGGTTATTATTGACTTAGTTACATACTATAAGTTTGTACAGCTCATATTTCAGCATGGAAAGGAAGCAGTTGTTCTTGAGCAATTAAGAAAAAAATGTACTTTTTTAGCTAGATCCGGAGGAAGATACCATGATGGACAGTGAAGGCCGTTTCTGATAGGAGAACTTGACCAACAGAACTAGAGTCATGAGTGGTCAAAGCTTGTTCCCAGAATGAAGCGCTGTATTTTTCCAGGGACTCTGTTTTAGGGGGAAAAAATAGATTATACTTATTAATGTTCATACTCAATTTTTTTTTCTTTTTGTCAGTCATTCATAATAATTGGGTACAGTTGGCTGTTTGTGCCCATGGGTTCTACAGTCAGGATTCAGCCAACCTTGGATAGAAAATCCAAGGGGGATTTTTTTTTTTACAGGGGGGAAAAATGTTTTGTAAAATGTAAAAATGTAAAAAACATTTT